GCATTAATGGAAGAAGAATTGCATATGACTAAAGGCAAATTGCATTCAATGTAAAACTTTGACACCAAGGCATAATTTTTAGAATATGCAAATCGCATATCATGATAATTGCCAGGATGTGCGATTTGCATATCCTAAAAATTGCATAATAAAAATTTGACACAAGACATAATTTTCAAGATATGCAATTCAAACACCTAAAATTAGACATCAATATATAATTTTTAAGATATGCAATGTTGATCTTCGAGCATACAAAAGTGTTTGTATATTGTGGAAAACTTGGCTTACGTAAAGACCTTGCTTGACATATTGACACCAAAAGACCTTGTTTGATATATTGATACTGAAAAACCTTATTTGACATTGACGGAGTAAAAGACCTTGTTCAACTTTTGCTCTTTTTTTATCAGTGAGGGCATTTTTGTCATTTAGCCCTAAAAAATTATTGCTAATGAAGGACCTCAATATTGAATCTCTCCCAAGTCCTTCTTAGCAAAATAAAATATGGCCAAGTCTTTTTTGACAATTTCTCCTTTTTATATAGTTGTATTTAATTTGGTAACAAATTTAGATATTTCAAAGTTAAAAGTAATGTTGTCATAATTGGATCGAATCTGCCAATTCGATCGTTTAATCAGGAACTAGCATATAGTTTAGTCCATTCAACCCTCATAACTAGTAAAAAGTTAACTAGTCAAGAACTAGCCAAAATTAATTTTCATACTCTTTTAAAAAAATATCAACAATACAAAATCATGCTATTTTGTATTTTTATGTGTCTTGTAGTAGGCTCTTCTATAGTATAATATATATTTGATGATTTATTAATGTTTTTTATAAGCATAAGTAATAGGCTCCATCAACAGCAGATAATATCTCCCTAGAGCATTGAAAATAATGGGTAAACTTTTTCCAACTAAATTTGTACTCCTCTAATCCTATTTATTTTTTGTGTGTTCATCTTTATTTTTCTACCTTCACTAAATGTTAGAAAAAATTATTAAAAATAATTTTTCTTGTCTTTATTAGGGGTAGAGATAGAGACTTATTAAGACAGAGTTAATGAGATGTATGGTTTTTCTTTCAATAAAATATTTTAGAACTGACTTATAAATAGAATCGGAAAGAATACACACACGAAGGCTATGATTTATTAATGACTTAATATTGTGGCATCCTTGATGATTTTGTTTTGATTATTTGTAATTGATTGTAAATAACTTTATTATAACATTAGTGAAATTGACTATAAATTTGATACTCATGATAAGAATATAATTAAATATTATCTAAAATTATTTTTCATATATAATCTTTAAATTTTATTATTTTAATTGAGACTAGATGAACCACAGTTCAGTGAATTAGTCTCCTAATTAATTCAATGCCAGTCCAATTTTAACAACGTTGATCAAATGTAGGGAGAATTGCACACAAATTTCACTCAAGACAATTAATTATTTTTAAGTTCATTAACAACTGAACTTAAAAAAATGACAATACAATACCAATTGAAAAAAAAAATAATGAATTAAAAAATGAAAGCTTTCTTAAATAAAGTTGGAAATATTAGATGTTTTTAATTTTGATAGGTTGATAGTAAAAAGTGTTTTTTTCCTTTCGAAATCTAACTAACATTCATCACTTGATATTCTTTCATGCATTTATTGAAAAGGGCAATCATTTGGAATTTTAGCAATTGATGTCTTTAAAAATAATATTTGTAATAAACTTATATTTGATAGAAATACTCTTATCATATATAGTTGACAAATAAGGTTGAAGTATTGTTATTTTTCTAAACTCAATTGATAGAAATATTTGACTTGGAAGCAGACCCGGGAGTAATCAATGGACTTTAAAATAATTTTCTCTTAAAAGTGTAATTAATTACATGAAGTCTAGTTCACTCAAGTAAGGAAGAAAACAAGATAAATAAAAATAATATATTTAAAATTAATTTTATTTTATTGTTATGAGAACAGATATTTTATAAAATATGCTTTGAGAATAAAAAAATGATAAAAATAAATATTTTATTATTATTTTTTATTCTCCAAAACAATAATTCAAAAACATTTAAAAGTTATTTCTATTTTATTATTTTTTAGAATAATATTTTATTTTTTATTTTTCAAAATACTCTTCTAAAAACACATTATTAAATATATTTTTTTAAAAAAACTATTTTCAAGAATAAAAAATATTTTTAAAATAAATTGTCAAACAGATCCTAAAATAGCAATCCTTTTGGCAGAAGATTCATACTCATTCCACAGCCTAGGTTTTCTCTGGAATGTCAAGTGAAAGCAACTGTCACCGCGTGTGAATGTCAAACTCAAATGTCTTGTTTCACTTTGTTCCTTTGTGGAAAATATGATCCTTTTTTTTAATATATATATATATATATATATATTTATTTATTTATTTATTTTCTTCCACAGAATTTTGTTTGACCTCGTTACTTTGAATGATTATCGCTAAACAAGATTTGATCATTCTGAAGCTTAATCAAGTGTTACTCACTCAAGCATATTTTTTACATTCATACAAATTTATATTCAAGACTTCGTGTTCCAGGCGGGGAAGAAAAAAAGATTCAAGACTTTGTGCCTGTACAATCATAGACCCATAACCTCTTTTATTAGGATCAGCACAATTAAAAAAATAAAGGTTATTTTAAAACTATTGTATAAATTTAAATATTTTGATGTGGGGGGAAAAACAAAATCAAAGACTTTAAAATTAATTACTGTTCTAACACAAAAATTATGGTTGGTGACAGCACTGCTATTATTCATGTATTTTTAGGGAGAATTTTAACCAAGGGCCATGGAAGAAAAATATTTACTTGTAGTCCCAAAAAATTTAAAAAATCTCTACAAGATTTCAAGACTAAGCTAAAATAAAATGGGGGGTTAAAAAATTTAAAATACTCTTCAGCAAAATTAACAAATATTTTGTTACTATCTAACTTTACTTGTTAATTATTTACTTGTATTTATTAATTTCTTAACAATACTTATTAAATAATTAATTAGTTAATTTCATAACTTCATAATGTCAAGAACATTACTTATTAATTTTACAATTTTACTTATTAATTTGTCAACATAACTTATTAACTATTTAACTTGATTTATAAATCATTTATATGACTTAGCTTATTCACTCAATTTGACTGAAAAGTATAATTATTAGTTATTAATTATCTTGCTTAATTTTTTAATTTATCAATTATAGTTGTAAATTATCTGATTTAACCTATCAATAACTATACTAATATCAATGGTTAATTATCTAACTTTTACTTATTAATTTATTAATATTAATTGTAAATTATATGACTTATTAATAATTAATTATATTAGTTCAATCATTTTGTCCTAAATGTATAATTATTATTTGTTAATTCTCTAATTTTACTTGTAAATTTATCAATTTCAGTTGTCAATCATTTTTTTTCTTTCTTTTACAAAGGATATTTCATTCTTTTTAGTCACCCATTTTATTTCAATTCAGTCCAAAAATTTATAAAAAATTTTTAAATTTTTTTAGAATCTACTGACAAATATTTCTCTTCCATCTTCCTTAATTGAACTTCTCCCTTTATGGTACGTTTATCTTATTATTATTTTTTTCTTTTGGTTGGGGCAACCGCACGTTTATCTCAATATAAATGCTATAAGAAAAATGGACCTTTTCTGAATGCAAAATCTTAAATCACAAAATAAGGAAAAAAAAAGGACGTTTATCTCAATATGAATGCTATAAAAAATGAATATTTTGCTTCTTCTTTTTTTTTTTGGGCCAAAGAAATCCTTTGCCAAGATGCTCTATAAAAAATATTGGCTATCTCGAATGCCAAAACAAAAAAGCAAAATTAGCTATCTGTTTGAACTCTAGAATATTTTTATTTTTTTAGCATTCCATTGGGTAATGCATGCAACAAAACATCCAGCATATATAAAAATGGAACAAGGATTTGAAGCTGAGAATTATATTGCATACCTATATCAAAATGTAATTATATATATTACAATATAATTATACATATTAATTTTAAGTTCATCAATTACTTTAAAAATAATCTTTTGATTAAAATACTCTTCTTTGATATGCACAATTACTTTATTGGTGTTAAAGTTGTTTTAAACAAAGGATTATTTTTTTTAAATTGCAGAAAAAGACCATCGTACTTTAATACAATCTCAAAAATTTTTGTCCTTCAATTGTTATTACTTATTTTTCCTTGATGTTTAATTTTAATTTTACTTTTTTTATTTTGTTTTTGGGAAAGAAAAACAAAAAGAAGATCGCACTCAAGCACCAAGAAAAATAACCCTCCACTTTGGTTATTAAAAAGAAATAAATTAAAAAAATTAATATAAAAATAAAATAAATCACCTTTCCTCTCTTATAATAAGTATAATAAAATACATTAATATATACTATAAATATAAAAATTATTACGTCTTTTAAAAATATTATAAATTATAATTTTCAACCCGCTCATTTCTGTTTATCATCCTTTTTTATTATTTTATTTTTATTTTTATTTTTTTAATTTATTTCATTAGATTCTTGTCTAGTAATCAAACATAACCATTAGATTCGCCCACAAGAGCCAATACAGAATGGGTTATTTTTTTTAAATAATATTTTTTATTAATTCTTATATATGAATGATGTTTTTTCCATGTCATTGAATGTGATTCTTCGAAAAATAAAAAACGTCATTTATTGTAAACGTCATATGTATTATTGAATGAAACATGTGGTGTTTCGAGACTATTGACTGTTTTCAGTCAAAACCTCTTGCCGGTCAATACTTGGCCATCTATTATTATGTGACTAATATAATATTTTGGTCCAGCTTCTTGATTATTATCATTATTATTTTATTATTTACTTTTTTCTAATCTTTCAGGACATCAACATTATTTGGCGAACATTATTATATAATTTGTTTTCCTCCCTTCCCCCACCCCCCTCTCTCTCCGCGTCTCCGCCTCTAATACCGATTCCTAATCTTTCTCTATCCGAAATTCCGAATCCAATCAGCCATCAAACATGAATCTGCCGGGGGATTCCGCCGGCGGAAGCACACCACCGTCGTCGAAAAAGCAGCTTCAACTCCAGGGGCCACGCCCACCTCCTCTCAGAGTCAGCAAAGAATCTCACATAATTAAGAAACCACCGCTGCCACCACATGCTGCCGCCGTCGCCACCCACCAACATCCCCGCCTCTCGCCTGACGATGCCAGCCAGCAGCGGCAACCGGTGATAATATATTCCGTATCTCCTAAAGTTCTTCGAGTCCCCGTCAGCGACTTCATGGACGTCGTCCAGCGCCTCACTGGGCTACACTCGGTCAACGAACAGCCTTCTGGATCCGGAGCTGTTTCGCCGGCAGCGAAGTTGGCTTCGATAGAAAAGACAAGCCCATCAGAGAAGGAAAGATTGCGGAGCACCGGAAACGACGCGATGATTGAATTGGAAGGCATAGATGTGGGGCAGTTCCCAGGAATATTATCACCGACGCCGGCAAGTTTAGGGCCGATACCACCGGATTATTTCTCACCGGTCGCAGAAACGCAGCCGTTTTGGCATGACTTGAGCCCGTTTTGGTCGGGAAATAGCTTCATGGGGAGCCCATCGGGATTGCTTTCGGCGAGTATAGTGTCGCCACTAGCGTCGCCGGATGTGTTCCGTCTTTTTGACTAAGAATTTTGGTACCAATTTTTTTTTAAATTTTTTTAATATCTAGGTAAGTAGACGGGAGAGAATTGAACATTCTTCATTTTCATATTTAAAAAAAAGAAAATCATTGTTGCGGAATTTTATGTACATGTTGTTCAAAATAACTTAATGTTTGCAATTCGTGGAAGATAATACTGGTTTTCCTGTTTTGATTGTCACAGCCAGAATTCGTTTTTACCTCCGGTTTACTGAAAAAAAAAAAAAAACGAATTCATTAGTATCATTTTCAGTTTCTCTGGCGGTTTGTTTTATACATTTATATGCTTTGGACTTATAGTCTCTTACATGATTTATTTGTCATTTTCTTTTTCGTTTTCCCTTTCCACTTTTCTCATCTTGATTGTGATTTTAATTATGATTTTCCTCTCCATTAATTGATAAATTCAAATCATAAACTCTTCTGCCACCAATTCAAATGGATCCCTTCATTTAACGCGTTTAGTGCGTCCGGTGAGGGGGAAAAAAAGTAAAGAAAATGACAAATACTGAATTATATGAGTTTTATAAATGTGTGTTCAATAAGGAATTTATGCGAATTATAAGAGTTTTTTTGCCACATAAATTCATGACTATTACATTTGGGAGTAAATGCAAATGATGTAAATTCAGTAATGAATCCAAATATTCTCTCTCTTACTGAGCATTTTTATCTGGGCCAATCTTACTGAGCTTATTTATTCGCATAATTACCTTATTGAACACATTTACAAGGTAACTTCATTCATTCATTTATTTATTATAACTTATTCTCTCTGTCTAAGAGTGTAAGACATTTTTTGAGGAGTTGAATGTTAAAAAATATAAGGTATTTTTAATTTTTCAAAATGTAATCATTGTCATTTTTTTTAAAGTGCTTATATTAATAATAACTTTATATTTATTGTAGGATATTTAATAAGAGTAAATATGAAAAAATAAAGTTCATTAAAAATTAGATAATTATTTTATTAAAAAATAAATTTTAATTAAAAATACTTTATATTTTTAAACAAGAGAGTATATGTTTTGAGGGATGAGCTTCTCATGGCTATCTTAAAATAGTAGTAGCAAAAAAAATTAGAAGATGGTTTGAATTCTTATTAAGAAAGGTAAATTTAATATTTGACTTTGAAAAGGATCGACTATTATAAAAAGATATATGTGATCAGTTAAAAAAAAAATTTACTAATACCTGGCCTTAAGAAGAATGCCTAAAATTGACAGCAAAATTTTAATATAATATTCTTTTTCAGCCTGAAAATTTGAAGAGAATGTTAGAGTTTTTTCTTTTTTTGTTGGGGTAATGTTAGAGTTTGTTGCTCGGATGTACAAAAGGTCCATAAGGCCCAACCCAACGGCCGACTATACAATCAGCCTCCAAAAGCCCAAAAATAAATAAACAAAGAAAGAATCGATGCTATTTGATTGATATTACGAAATCTTAAGCATAATTTTTATGTTGATCATAACGATAAGTTGATTGCAAAAAAGATAAAAAATATTTTATCAAAACTTAATTTTTTTTATCCACAAATTGCATGTGATGAACTGATGATATATTTTAATAAAATAGTAAAATAATAATTAAAAAACTTTGTTCATTTTACAACTTCTTACTCTTGCATCTAAAAAAAATAATACATCATGTACTCCCTTCATTTAAAAATATAAAATATTTTTAATTAAATTTTAATTTTTAATAAAATAGTTACCTACTTTTAAATTAACCTTATCTTTACATATTTACCACTATTAAATATTCAATAATAAATATAAAGTTTCTATCAATAGAGACACTTTTTAAAAAAATAATGGTTACACTTCAAACGACTAAAAATGTCTTACATTTTTTAACATCTGACTTCTTAAAAAATATTTTATATTTTTAGACGGAGAGAGTATATAATTTAAATAAAAAATATTTTATATTTTTTAACATCTAACTTTTTAAAAAATACTTTTGCTTCATCAGCCTCGTTATTATGAATGTTTTTAGATAAAAACTTCTAGACCCTTTTCTTAGAGAACTAAAATTGAGAATAAATGCAAAAAGATATGAGAAATTGATGCATTATAGGTCCTATAAGTTTGAAAATAAATAATATTTACTCAAAATTGATAGAACGGTGTTGGATGGTTTATTTTTTTTATAATAGAGGCTACTCAGTGCTCCTCACAAAATAATTCATGACTAAATTTGCACTTTTATTTGTTAAGATAGAGCACCATGTGTTATTTTTAGTCAAAAATTTGTGGTCTCCACATGAAAAGTTAACATCCATCAAATAAAAATTAATGAAAGCTATTAGATACTTCATTTTTAAAAGTTAAAAAATTATTTTACACTATTTTATAATATAGATTATCTGACGTTCTTAAAAAAAATAATCGAGGGCCACTTTTAAGCCTTTATCCAAAAAAATAATTCCATCCTTGTTACTTTGTTTTTGGTCTAAAATCTGTATGCATGCATACTGAATATATGATCAATAGTGATAATTCCCGATACACGCACACCCGGTGGCCTTGTATAGCTGTGGCACCAATGCCCACCAGCTATATTCTGAGCCAGAGAGGCTGCGAAGGAGATGTGTCTTCCCTTCCCATGGAAGAAGTTAGCAAATAAAAAAAAAAATAGTTTCCAATATAAATGATGAAAAGGAGGGATACTTTTAAGAAAGCCAATACAATTTTAAAATAATAATTAATTTTTTTTAATAAAAGTGAATTAGTTATCTAGATTTGCACTTAGGATGGAAGGGAATAGTTGTTTTAAAGTTCAAACATAGAATTTGGCCAAAATAATAAATTATAAATTTAATATAACAAAGATAAAGATAAATTAGTCAACATAATTTATATTTATTTGATTTAAAATTTATTAATTTAAATATTATATTTTTAATATTTAAAATTTTCAAATACTTATTTAATATTTTATCATTTAATTAGTAAAAAAGCTTTAAATTAAAAGGAGAGAATGAGCAATTAGATTGTGAGGGTAAGTTAACTAATAAGTTAAAAATGTTAAAATATAAGTTTAATTAATAAAATTAAGTATTTTAAAATATTTAATAAAATACGCTTAACATTCTTAGAAGTTTGATTAAAATGTATTTTTTAGTAATTTAGATTAAATTAAGATAATAAGAAAACACATCTACACAGCGGAAAATACAAAGAAGAAGGACTATCATTTTAGCAACATTGGGGGAACATTATATTTTACTTTAAAATAAATTAAACAAAGAAACTTACTTGGTGTGGAGCATTATCTAAATGCTTTGTTTAGTCTACATTCAAAAAAACTAACTGAACCAGTAATTTGAGTAAAATAAATCAACCACACAGCTAAAAACTTCACACAGAAAATCAAGTGAAAAAAAAAAAATTAATGTATATGACTTACCCTGGTGGAACGGGAAAGATTTAAAGAGGTGTCGATTTAAGAAAATAGTAAATTACGTATTTCTTTTCCACCGGCGTCCCGTAGCGCCGCCGCCGGCTCTAGTTGATTCAAACACCCAAATCTTGGCTCTCCGATCAACCAACCAACATGGACCGGCGAGGAAATTTCAACGACGGAGGAACACCACGGTCTTCCCAGAATCAACTTCAGTTCCCATGGCCTCGCCAACCTCCTCTTACATGCAACAACGAGTCCAACATTATCAGGGAACCATCGCTGCCACTGCAATCTGCCGGCGGAACAAGAACACATCTGTCGCTGTCCCGGAGTCATCTTCAAATCCAAGAACCTCGCCAACCTCAGTTTAGAGTCAACAACGTGTCCAACATTATCAGGGAACCATCGCTGCCACTGCAAATTGCCGGCGGAACAAGAACACCACTGTCATCGTCCTGGAGTCATCTTCAAATCCAAGAGCCTCCCCAACCTCAGTTTAGAGTCAACAACGAGTCCAACGTTATCAGGGAACCTTCGCTGCCACCGTACTCCGTCGGCGGAAGAAGAAGACCACCGTCATTGTCCCAGAGTCAACTTCAATTCTCAGAGCCTCCCCTAACTCCTTTTAGAGTCAACAACGATTCCAACATTTACGGGGAACCGCCGCTGCCACTGTACTTCCCCGGCGTAACAAGAACACCACCGTCATCGTCCCAGAGTCAACTTCAACTCCCAGGGCCTCCCCTACCTCCTTTTAGAGTCAACAACGAGTCCAACATTTACGGGGAACCACCGCTGCCACTGTACTTTCCCGGCGTAACAAGAACACCACCGTCATCGTCCCAGAGTCAACTTCAACTCCCTCCCCTACCTCCTTTTAGAGTCAACAACGATTCCAACATTTACGGGGAACTGCCGCTGCCACTGTGCTTCCCCGGCGTAACAAGAACACCACCGTCATCGTCCCAGAGTCAACTTCAACTCCCAGAGCCTCCCCTACCTCCTTTTAGAGTCGACAACGATTCCAACATTTACGGGGAACCGCCGCTGCCACTGTACTTCCCCGTCGTAACAAGAACACCACCGTCATCGTCCCAGAGTCAACTTCAACTCCCAGACCCTCCCCTACCTCCTTTTAGAGTCGACAACGATTCCAACATTTACGGGGAACTGCCGCTGCCACTGTACTTCCCCGGCGTAACAAGAACACCACCGTCATCGTCCCAGAGTCAACTTCAACTCCCAGACCCTCCCCTACCTCCTTTTAGAGTCGACAACGATTCCAACATTTACGGGGAACCGCCGCTGCCACTGTACTTCCCCGTCGTAACAAGAACACCACCACCGTCATCGTCCCAGAGTCAACTTCAACTCCCAGACCCTCCCCTACCTCCTTTTAGAGTCGACAACGATTCCAACATTTACGGGGAACCGCCGCTGCCACTGTACTTCCCCGTCGTAACAAGAACGCCACCGTCATCGTCCCAGAGTCAACTTCAACTCCCAGACCCTCCCCTACCTCCTTTTAGCAACAACGAGTACAACATTTACAGGGAACCATCGCTGCCACTGTACTCCTGCAGGAGAAGAACACCACCGTCGTCGTCCCAGAGTCAACTTCAAATCCAAGAGCCTCCTTTACCTCCTTTTAGAGTCAACCAAGAATCCCGCATTATCAAGAAACCATCGCTGCCACAACACGCTGCCGGCGGAAGAAGAGCACCGCTGTCATCGTCCCGGAGTCAATTTCAACTACTAGAACCTCCCCTACCTCCTCTTAGAATCGACAAAGAATCCCACCTTATCAAGAAACCATCGCCGCCACAACACGCTGCCGGCGGAAGAGTAACACCGTCGTCCCAGAATCAGATTCAACTCCAACGGCCTCGTCAACCTCCACTTAGAATTGAGAAAGAATCCCACATTATCAAGAAACCATCGCTGCCACATTACGCTGCCGGCGGAGGAACAACACCACCGTCGTCCCAGAATCAGCTTCAACTCAAACGGCCTCTCCAACCTCCTCTTAGAATCGACAAAGAATCCGACGTCTTCAAGAAACAGAAGAAGCAACCAGTGATAATATATGAAAAGGAAGATAAAATCATTCATTATGACGTCAAAGATTTCGAAGACATAGTCCAGCGCGTAACCGGACTACAGCCCTCCAAGAAACAGAAGTCTGGATATGGAGACGTTTCACAGGCCGTGGTGGACCTGACTTCCGAGGAAGAGGCAATCCCAAGAAACAATGACAGACAGCGCAGGAATGAAGGTGATGAGATGACCGAATCGGAAGGATTGGAAGTGTGGCAGTTCCAGGGAACATCATCACCACTGACTCCAACAACATCAGCACCGATAACATCAGAACGTCCGGTTGACCCAAAAACGATGCCGTTAATGCATGATGATAGCTTCACGAGAAGCTCATCAGGATTGAAGTCGTTGTCGTACATGGGGTCGCCACTGGGACAATCATCACTGACGTCGCCAACTTCAGCAGCGGCTGCAGCGATGGAGGTACCACAGTATTTTCTCTCACCGGTCCCAATCAAAGGGCCGATCATGGCTGACGTGATACGATGTTGGTCGGAAGATAGCTTATTATTTGGTTGGGGAAGCCCATCAAGATTGCCATCGTCGACCATGGCGTCGTCATCAGGATTATCATCATCGGTGACACCAATTTTATCGTCCAATACGATGCCGTTCATGCATGATAATGTGAGCCCATTATGGTCGGAAAATAACTTATTGAGAAGCTCATCCGGATTGCCATTGCCGAGCATGGCGTCGTCATCATCGGGAATATCATCACCAATGACACCAATTTTAGCGTCAAATACGATGCCGTTCATGCACGATGTAAGACCTTTACGGCCCGAAAATAGCTTATCGGGAAGCTCATCAGGATTGCCATCGTCGAGCATGGTGTCGTCATCTGGAATATCATCACTTTCAGCGCCAAATACGACGTCGTTCATGAATAATGTGAGCCCTTTGTGCCGCCAATCGGAATTGCAGCCATCGAGCATTGGGTCGCCGGTGGAAATATCATCACAGACATTGCCAAGTTTTGCAGCATCTGGTTTCTCACAAGTTCAAAAGACACAGCCGCTCATTGACAATGGGAGCCCCTTTGTGCAGGAAAATATCTTATCGGGAAGTTCGTCGGGATTACAGTCATCGAGCGTGGTTTTGCCATCGGAAATATCATCAACAGTGACTCCGATCTTAGCTCCAAACATGGTGACGACCATCAATGATGGAAGACCCTGTGGCCTGCAGCCGTCGAGAATATCATCCTCGGTCTTGTCGGTTCTAGAAACAGAGCCATTCTTGCAGGATTTAAGCTCGTCATGGTCCGAAAATAGCTACTTGGGAAGTCCATCAAGATTTCAGTCGACGGTCATAGGGTCGCCACCGGGAATATCACCATCAGCGTCAACAACTTTAGAACCGGTCTTACCAGAGCCGGTTCCAGAAACAGGGCCGTTCGTGCAGGATTTAAGCCAGTTATGGTCAGAATATAGCTTCTGGGGAAGCCCATCGAGAATGCAGTCGTCCTTCATGGCGCCACCACCGGGAATATCATCATCGGTGTCACCAAGTTTAGCGCCCGTCGTACCAGAGTCGGTCCCAGAAACGGAGCCGATCATGCTAGATTTGGGCCAGCTTTGGTCATAAAATAGCTTCACAGGAAGGCGATCGGGATTGCAGTCGACAAACACAGCCCCGCCATCATCTCCACCAAAGTCTCCGGAGGTGCTTGATCCTTCGGAATAAGAATTTAGGAGCCATTTTTTTCATTCACTGACAGCGCGCGCGCGCGCTCGCTAACTTTATTCATTCACTGACTGCATATGTACATTCAAGGCAGAATAAATAATATATAGTGATCCAGCTTTTTTTTTTTTTTTGAAAAACTGACAATTCTGTCATTAAATAAATAATTGGTATATTTCCTTATTGGCAGTTTTTGTTTTTTTTTTTTTTTTTTGGTTTTTAGTTTTTAACTTTTGTTTTAGCAAAACAGTTTTGTTTATAAAGCTTTAACTGTACTCCTTCATTTAACCTCATGAGGTAAATATTTTTGTGGGTGACATATGAGGTAAATTTATTTTTCCATACAACTTATCCCCTTGTCATTATAGTTAATTAGGAGTTAGGACTAATTAGAAAAAGCCTCCTTGCATCAGTGCACTGAAATACTTAAATTACAAAAGCGCTCATTTTTAATAAAATATCATCCTGTTATAATATATTGATTTTGAGTTAATAAAAAAGGCCACGTCTATAATGACCACTGATTTTGATTTCATAGATGATATTCACATATTGATTCATAAGAAACGCTTTAAATTATTTAAATTATACAAACAACTTACTCAAGTTGTATCATACTATCCCCCTGCTTTGGTTTGTCTTGTGTAACAAACAGCAAGTGAATCGGTCTGACATGAGTCTGATCCGTCCAAAGAAGAAAAAGGGGGAAAAATGCATGCAAGGTGCATCGTTGATGATAATTTCCATATAGTCAACAATTCAAGGATTTTACATTTGAAAAATGGGCTTTGAATAATTATAGCCCAATTCAGGTAAAAAGGGAGGAAATTACATATAGATCACATGCAAAGACACATATTACTTGTAAATCCCAATAACTTGTATGTTATGAAGTTTGACTTATAATGAAACGGAAAAAATAATTTTTGGGCTAAAATAGTTTTTGGGCTAAAAAAAACTATTTTAGCCCAAAAATTTTCAAAAATCTAAATATTGCTTAGATTGTTGCTGTTCAAGCTAGGAATACAGCTTCCTGGGTCAAACAAACAAATTGAAAGATAGTAAGCTATGTAGCAACAAGCTTTTAACCAAAATTATCAGCATTAAATGTGCTAATTAAGTAGTTGAGATGTTACATGTGATCTCCAAAAGGTTGAATGACTCAATGGAGAACCCAAAAAGAAAGAAAGGCAAACAAAAAAAAAAAACGTCATATTATATTTACAGATTGATAGTTGAAATCAGCAACTACTTGACTTCGGATTGCAATTCAGCATATCTTCAGCTTGATGGTTGAATAAGAATGTAAGTAAGAATTCGGGCACTATTTTGAAGAATTCCTCAAAAGTGTCATGTTCTTGCCAAGACAGACTTGCACGCAGGCCCAATCAAAGTGCCAACCATCTCACCTTTAATGGCTCTCGAGATGTTACCTGGTTTGTTTAGGTTGAACACAACAACTGCACCAAAAAGATTAGGGAGGAAGAAAGGGAAAGCTCATCAACACGCGACACTTGAGTTTTAATAACCAATTCATATAAGCCAACATGAATCCAATCCAGTGAAAATAGTAACTAATTTATGTGAATGCTTGTTCACCAGACTTACCAGGAATATTGTTTTCTTGGCACAAAGTGATGGCGGTCATGTCCATTACCGACAAATCTTTCGAAGTGATCTCCTGATATGTAAGTGTGTCAAGAAGACGCGCATGTGAATTACATCTTGGATCAGCATCATACACACCATCAACATTTGTTGCTTTGAGTACAACCTCAGCATTAACTGAGTAAATGATGGAAACAAAATAAGTAGTCTGAAGCAAAGTATGCATTTACTACGGTAACGGAGATGAGATTAAGAACAGACGACACAAATTAGCTGAAAGGGTTTTGATAGGTATCTAAGTGGAATGAAAAACCCTATCCTAAAAGCTAGTTGTTGAGACGGAAAAACTAACCCACTTAAATATTTCATTGAACATCTCATACTACACAATGTGTGACTGGAACCACCAACAACGTGGCTTTGATATCAATTGATAAATACTTAAGTGAGATGGGAAACTTTATTCCAAAAACTATCAATTGAGGTAGGAAAACCAATCCACTTAATTACCCCATTAAGCATCTCATCCTACTCAATATGAAACTTGTTATTTCATACAAACAAGCCTCTACTAGATTTCATCAAATTCAAAAATCACTCTCTCCCTCTCCCTGTGTTGGATGGAACCGCAACCAACAGTGTCCCCAACTAACAGAATCTTAGTGGTATGTTAGTGTCAAACTTCGCTGTCAAATATTGACTCACTTTCTGCACATCGGAGTGCTGCAGCAGTATCAGTGGTAAAAAATGGATTTCCAGTTCCAGCAGCAAAAATGACAACCCTTCCTTTTTCCAAATGCCTCACAGCCCTTCTACGTATGTATGGTTCTGCAACCTCTGACATTCGAAATGCAGTCTGTACCCTTGTGGGAATGCCGATGCTCTCCATTGTTGCTTGAAGAAATATTGCATTCATAACAGTTGCCAACATCCTATTGAATAGAATGAATAAAATTAGCAATATACCAGAGAGCTATTCCATCAATATTTGGCTGCCGATACTGATACAGTACATAACCAAATGGCCATTTGGCTGAGCAATCTGTCAACGAAACTAAGAACTTCCTCTAAGTAAAATAAGGACTGATTCAAACACACAGTATTGTAGGTTATAACCAGAGTGTTCTTTCGGTAAGTTGAACAACTAACACATAAGAACGGTCCACTTGGTCCATGGGATCAAATGAAGATTGATGTTGATGTTCAATCACTAGCTTCTACACAAGATTAAACAGATCTAACCAGTTAAAGAGAAATTACCCAATATAATCAGCTGATGAGCGGTCCAGGCCACTAGATCCAGCCCAGGAGGATCCACGGAAGATGTTACCTCCACCTACTACTAGTGCAACCTGAAACATTAACCTCAAATAGTTACCTAATTCTGAAAATGCTTTAAGTTGCAATGATCATAAAAGTCACCTGCCCCTCTATTGAGGCATGAAAAGCAAGAACATAAAATTCTTTCACAATAGTGAGGTAATGGTGCCTGCATAATTCTCCAGCAGAATGTCTAATTGTTAACAAAGTACAGTTATAGTAATGATTTCCTAAAAATTCTGCGAATTTCACTCATAATTAGCCAAAGCGTTATTAAATACACAAAGATGTAGCAGTAGAACTAACTAAACGAAGAAAGATGCATTATAATCACCTCAATGCCAAGACGGGTCACAGCAGCAACCTCCCTTGCAATAGACATAGTAACCTAGAATCCAAGAAAACAAAATTATATCTCAGAAACAGAACTAAGAACAACATAAGATAGTGTCACTTTATTTTTCAGCTATAGAAGCCTAAGTGGACAGACGTAGTTCTTTTTTTTTTTTTTGGCTTCCTGACCTTAGGGTCAATGTTCTGAGAGTGATCTCCTGCAAGAGCCTCTCCGCTTACTTTGAGCAAAACCCTTCGCCATTTGTATGATGGCTTACTAGATTCATCCATTGACAGTCCAAAGGGAGACATAGATGACATTCCAGGCTGCATGCTGCTAATTTTAATGGCCATAATAACTATCAAGTGATTGATAATAAACTAATTGTCAAATACAAGAATAAGGAAGAACAGTAGGACTCCCATAATATCATTCAAGCATAACATAAGAAGATCAACTAACAGAAAAAGACTTAAATGACCCATAAAACACAATCCAGCAATAGATTCCATACAAAACCAAATATTTGCGAGTGCTAAAAGATAAAATCAGCTATGAAGTAAGTTAATTATATGTCAACAATTAGTTAAAAATGGTCATCTTTAAAAAAAAGTCATCTGTATGTTAATTTGAAAATGATCTCTTTCCTAAAAGGAGAAGAAGTCTTGTATGAGTATCATAATTGTTTTGAATTTGATTGTGCTTCGTCATTGTAGTATCACTTTCACAACCATTTGGACATGAAAATATTGGGCGGACAGATGCCAAAACAGGATCAAATTGTTTATATGAGAAAGATGTGTAATCTTCAAATAAGGTCGCCCCACAGAATCATTCACCCAACTAAACTACACTACATGACATAAAATGATGGTGCAGCAACAGAAGATTAAGCATTTACCCAACTAAACTACGCTACTAGACCTTAAGGCTCAAACTTTAGCTAGAAAATTGAGTATCACCAACTTGGAAGCCAACATTTCCATGTAAGATATCTAGAAAGACAAAAGAAGCTAAAAACTGGACAGAAACAAGAATTCAGGATGAGCAGAGAAAAAGAAGAAAAGGGCATACCTGGAATTGAAGGAGTCAGAGGGCGAACCCGTTTGAGAATAAGAGGAGCGAATGAAGAGCTTGTTGAGAGAGGAGGAAGAATTAGGGAATCTGAGAGGAGAAAGAGAGGATGGAGATGAAAGGAGGGAGAGATTGGAATTGGAAGAGACGAGAGTCATGAGAGGGATGGAGATTGCCATCATTCACAGTGCTACTCCTTCTCTCTGATGCCGCTCACCCTCCTTCTTCTACTCCCAATTCCCTCCTCTTCTAGCATGGCCGCTCGGGATAAACTCCATTTCTTTTTATTCTTTTTGAAAATCTTTTGGGGAGATTTATTAATAATATTTTTTAATATTACATTTTTTAATAAATGAAATATAAAATAAAATTATAAAACATATTTAATAAAATTTATTAGCATTATAAAAAAATGCACAATATTTTTAAATTATAAAATTATATTGTAATTAATATAAGAAATTAACTAAAATGGGACTAAAAAATTTTTTTAAGTTTGCAAGAAATAATGCTAAAGAATGAATTGTTTGAATGAATGTTAATGAAAAATAATATTCCCTCCATCCCAAATTATACAGCACTTTTGAAAGAGTTTTTTCATTTCAAAATATAAGACACTTTGAGTAGATTAAGGTTTCACTAAATGCACCAATTTTAATATTATCATTTCTCTTTTTATAATTAATTTTCATCCTTTTTTTTTTAATATATTAAATAATAAGTATTTTTGAAAGTTTATATATTTATTTTGAAAAGATAAGGTTGTTAAGTATATTTAATAAGGCTTATTAATATATAAAATTTTATTTAAAAGTATCTTATAATTTAAGATGAAATGAATATTAAATTTAAAAATAGTTTAATTCTATTTTACTTTGAAAAATTTATACTCCCTCCATTCAAAACTATAAGGTATTTTTAATTAAATCTCACCTTTTAATAAAGTAATTACTTAATTTCAAATTATTCCTATTTTTTCATGTTTATATCTATTAAACGCCCTAAAATAAATAAAGTATTTATTTAATATGGACACTTTAAAAAATAATGATTATATCTCAAAAGATTAAAAATACCTTACATTTTTAACATCAAATTTCTCAAAAAAAATGTATTATATTTTTAAACGAGTAGAATATATTTTATCATAAAAAATGACACAAATTAAATAAAATGTATTTTAAAAAAAAGAGAGAGGGAAGGGAAAATGAGAAATAAACATGACCAAAATAGGAAAGTGACAAAAGAAAATTACAAAATGAGGTAATTATTTTAAAATTTTTTGGAGACTTATATGTTACTCTTTTAATTTTTTTTTATAAGCCACTTCTAATATATTTAACTAGAATTAAAAAAATTTAAATTTGATTAACTATATTTTAAAATTTAATAAACTTTTACCTCTATCTTCTAATAAAGATAAAATAAATTATTTTTAATAATTTTTTTTAGTATCTAATAAAGGTAGAAAGTAAAAATAAATATAAAAAAATAATGAACTGTTCTATAAATAAAATTAAAATTAATTTTCTCTCTCTATTTTATAAACAGAAACAAAAAAGTATTAAATTTTTCACAAAATTATCATAATGCCTTGAAAGATATAAATAATAATTTCAAAATATCAAATGACTATTTTTATTAAAAGAATGATTAAAAAATTATAAGAGATAACTATTTACATTTTTAATTTCTTTTGAAAGTAAACAATAACTTCAAAATAACAAATAATTACTTTTATTAAGCAATTGACCATAATAATATAAAAAATCATTACTATCATTCTTTAATTTCATTTTATAAGCATTGAGAAACGATTTTCGACCCTATTTTAATTACTTGAAAGCAATTATTTATTACTCTGAAATTGTTATTTATTGGGCCATTATAATCATTTTGTGAAAAAAATTAATATTAAATAGAGATAAGATTTATTTACTATTTTCTCGAGATAAAAATACATTTTCTTTGGGTTGTGGGCCCAACATTTATTAGCAGACCGCCCTCACTCGGGATTCTTGGCATTGTCTTCAGATTATCTGGCTCTAGGCTTGCGCCAAACAAGCCACCAAAATGTTGAACTCGCGGTTTCAATTGATGCTATCGAGTTTGAGATATTTTCTTCACTAGTCAGCAACCACCATATATTAAAAATATTGTTAAATTTACACAAATAAAATACAAAGATATTTTTTTAATAAATTAAAATTATCCAATCTATATGAATATGTCACGTGTTAAATGATTTAAATTCTCCGAGTCTCTCCTACCCTCCCATATGGACGTTTTGGGCCTTTTTATCGATGAACTCAAGCCCAAAGGCTTCCGCACTTGGAAATTTTTTATTTTCGGCTCAAACACTTTGGAACTATAATAACACTTGTTGAGAATTGAGGTTAGGCTCTTTTTCGTTACTTCCACAGAAATAAAAAAGGGTCTCACTTCACCCAAAAAAAATCATATCATAAAGATTGATGCATTGAATATAAATCATTATATCCATGTTCTTGTTACTCAATAATAATTATATGTTTTTCTTCATTTTTTTCAAGGGTAAAAACAATATCTTTTTCATCTAAAGAGTCACCTTTTCTTTGACCAAAAAATAAATAAATGAATAAATAAAGACACACCCTTTTATTCAATCTCATTTTTTTTAATTGTTCCATTCTACTTTGTTTAAACGAGCATTTGAAAAGTAAAATTTAAGCATCTCTCATGCTGTCATGCACTAATGGCCAATTGGCCTTATGGTTCAATAATATCAAGTATCTATTTTGAATATCTCTTAAAGGGCAAGTTGTGAGTCCAACCCATGTGGACGTGAAATGGGCATAAGTTTCTTTTGTTGAATGAAAGATGACAAAGAAAAGTGTTTCTTGCATTCAACTTATCGAAAGCAAAAAAGAAGAAACCATTTTCAGAGGAAAAATATTTTCTAGAAAACACTGAAAAAAATACCACATGTAAAACATTTGTTATGCCATTTTTAAAATTTTGTGTAATATATATGAGAAAACGTGTTTAGTCAATACATAAACATTGATGGAATCCAAAATAATGGCATATAACACAAAATTGCATTTCTTTTATCTCTTCTCTAATGTGAATTAATGTAGTATTCACACCCAAAAACAATTGTAAGACCTTTCTCCTAAGAAGTGAATGGGAAAAGGCCGGGCTCACATTTGATATTTCAGACCAAGCAAAAGAACCTGGCACATGAGATGTAGTTACTACTGAGAAGAAGAAAGTCATGAAATATTTCTAAAGCCTAACAGGCAATCCAAAGTTGTGAAATGTCTTTATAGTTCCATCACAACTGGCTGTCACAATTGACAAACCCCAAGGATCCTTTGGACATGTCATCTTCTGTTGATGGCTATGAGCATCTTCTACTGCAGAATGTGAATTCCAAAGTACAGGGAGCTTCTCCTCAGGCCACGTCACAGAACCTCGACATGTGTGATCAATGGAGAACCAGTTGCTGTGAGAGAAACATTCTCTATCTTCAACCATTTGGTTCTGCAACTCCGAAGAACAGTGAGCTAAACTTGGGACTATCTGGTCTGTGCTCATGCCTGACCAAGGCACTGCTATAACAGTACCTTCAGAGAAAAAGTACTCACAAGATCCATTGGTTTTTCTGTGTTTAGGTGATTGTTTGTTGAAGTCACTTGTGTTCCAGATATAAACATGAGAATCCTCTCCGACTGAAATTATGTGTTTTCCATTTGATGTAAAAGAACCAAACGTCTGACTCCCCGACTTGGAAAGACCTGTACAACCAACAAGAACAATTTTATGAAATCAGCAATGAGAGGACATTCACATTAGCATATATGAATTTTTCATGTTATGAGCATATGATTTTACTTTTGATATAGAGGCATGACTCATTGACTCTACCTCTGTATTTATGGACAACATCAATCCCTTCCCACAAGCAAAATTTGGAATCTTCTGATGTGATTAGAACTCTCTGATGTTCCTCCTGAGAAAACTGCAGTAAAATAAAGCACTTTCTAGTTAACAAATGAATTAAGTTCATATTGACTCCATTATTATTATTAAAAGTTTCAAGATTAAGACCTGAATGCCACTAATTTTGTTGCCCCTTGATCTCTTCTTTCCATCAACATGAATCTGTGCCTCAAGTCTGCAATGTTTATCTAAACCAACAAAAATCTTAGTTTGTCATTTTTCCCTCTACTGAAGGGGACAGGGTTTATTGACTATAGAATCTACAAGTGCATACCTGAAGCAACATAAAAGCGGCAAGTGCCTGAAATGGAGCCAACTACAAATCCCTGTGTTGAATAAAAAGTTAAAAAGTTCGTCAGATTAGAGCTGTGTTAAGTTTCTCAGAATCATAAAAAGCTTGAGCGTTTCAATCCTCCTAGTTTTACCTTCCCATCTGGCTTGTAACTTATAGCAGTTATCACATCATGTATATCTGCCCAATCAACGACCCTCTCTTCATGTACTCCCCATATTCTGACTTTGCCATCAATAGACCCAGTGATGAAGTAACTTTCATCAACTGGATTGACTTGAATGCATGTCACTGCTTCCATTGACACCAGACACACAATCACAATTGCATTCACAGTGATATTTTTCAGCACTCAAATTTGTGTTTGACTATGAAACAAGCATGGAATGGTGTAATGTTATTGACCGATGGAGAGATAATCTTACCATAATCATTGTGACAGAAAACACTTAAGCACTGATCACAACCGATTCGCCACAAACGGACAGTTTTATCCGCGGAAGATGAAAGAAGAATCTGCAGCCAGGTAGTTCAGGTCAGCTTTGAAAAGTATTGCAGAAAAGAGGTTCAATAGGAAAGATCACATTAATGAAGAACAGATAACTCACTTCCGAATTAGACCATGCCAAGTCCAGGACATCACTGGAATGACCATAGAATTCTTGCAGCGGTGATTCCTCAATTTGAAAAACCTTGCTTGGAAGGACAAGGTAGTGTTGACTCGACTGTTTTTTCCAAGAACAGAACACGTCTTGTTTCACTTTGCTAACAAGACTGTCTTCTGCGTTGAAACAGTCACTAGATGTATCCTGTAACACAACACGCCATATTCTCACAACTCCATCTTCACCTCCTGTTGCAAGATGCTCTCCATTGGGACTGAATTTCATAGTCCATATAAAGCCATTGTGAGCTGTAATCTCTTGTCCAACATATAACCCACTTAACTCCATCCACCTCTTCTTGTGCTGCCTCACCTTTATCCTATGAGTTTTATTTGCCTCTTTATTGAGTTGCAATCTAATTTTTTCTCTGCCGCTTTCTTTCTTCTTGTTCAAAAATCTCTTCCACCAGTTTTTCTTCTTCTTTTTATCCATGCCTAAATCCCCATGTCCTTCTTGGACGTCAGCTTCTGTGTTTCTGTGTTCATGAAAGCTCACATCTACTTCATCTTTAGGACACATGTTTATTTCATCAAAGAGAATGTTTGCTTCAGAAGTTTCTTTCTCATCTGCATTTGAGAGTGCTTCATTGGTGTCCCTAACTCTCTCTAGTCCCAGGTAGGGTTTTGAAGACATGACAGACAAACCAGATAAACCCATTCCCTCAAGAAAACGTTGTCGTCTTTCCTTCACACTCTGAGGCTGATTGACCCAAATCTCATAATCCAACTCGTTGGAACATGAATCAGATTCTTGAGGTGACAGATAATCTGCTGAGTCGAAGAACACATCATCAATATCTCCACCAGAGCTCAGCATATTTAGACTTCCGCACAAATGTCCCGCATGAACAGATCACTTTCTAACACTTCTTGCCTAAATTATGCAGAGCCCAGAGGAATACAAAATGTGAAAACGAAGGGCTAGTTTTTCATGTCTTTTCCTTGTGATTGCAACTAATATCTGCACACACACAGCGATCAATAACCCCCAAAAAAAGTCAGTATCAATCATGCAAGTCAGAAACAAAAAATCAAGGATTGTTTTTTTTAAAAGCATCTGGACCTCAGAGAACCATAATGAAGAAAGAATGACAATGTGCTCACTTAGTTAAACAAACAAGAGAGTTGATCATACTCTCTGGACATAATACAACCGAATACAGAGAAATAGATTTAGCCTGATTCGTGGATGGAATAGGATACTATAAATTGTAGGTGGCGTTAATGATACAGCTAATTCTGTTATGGTTGATTAATGATCTCTCTAAAAGCACTAATGAGTAATGACTATTGCAGAATAAAATATTTAAGAAAAAACCAAATGAAAAAGAAAAGTGGTTGCCTGCAAAAAGCTCAGAGAGATATATAGATATCAGATCACGTAGGGGTGAGCTGATACCCTCCTAGCGAAAGCGATGACTCGTAACTCTGAGACCTATCACCTATGAAGTTTCCTTATTTTACAGAAATATATGCAAAAGACCAGCGAGGTTGAGATTTGAATTTCTCGAGCTTCGTGTTTCAATGTTATGTTTGTTTCCGCCATTGCTATCTAGCACTAGCACTAGGTTCAGCTATGGCTTTCAGAATTTATTAATTAACTAACCACTAATTAATTAAGAATAATACCTTACGTTTTCATTGTTTTTGGGACCCCTTTTTTGATAAATCATTGTCATTCTTCTTTTATGTCTTAATCTGAGTAAATATAGGCATTTGTACTATGGGTGTTGGCATTGAATCCAGGTACAGAGGAATCATGTTGTACTAGAAAAACACAGGAAGGGTCATTTATTGCATGTACCTCGTTAGTCTCTTATGTCAATGACATCGAAAGAATCTTTCTGCTAGCACTTCTTCTCTAAAAATTCTCCGAAACCCAATCTTTTTTTCCCCCTGTTGGTATGTGATTATTATGAGCAATATCATACCACGAAGCTGTAAACTTTGAATTTCAGACTCTGAGTGAGGCCACGATCTGTGTTTCAAATTCTAAGACTCGCATCAACGAACGAAGCAGGATGCTCAAAGGCCGATCCTAAGTGCAATAACCATGAAAAGGGCTTTCATAAGAGAGTCGTACGTTGTGCGAGAGAGAGGGAGAGTGAGTTTGTAACCTTAAGATTGATGATAGTTTGATTAAATGATGAGCTTAGCATCTATCGTTCCAAAACTCATAGTTGCATCCGGAACAATCTGCAAATTTTTTTCAATCCGTTAAGCTTCCATCGTGTTGATAAGATATGGCCTTTATTTATTATTTTTTAATCACAACAAGTGAAAATTCAATTTGGAGTGTTGGCAGAGAATCTGCATGATTGGCAGGCAGAGACACTCTTTTTTGATTCGTTTTGCTTAATGGTTTTGTTAGTCTGAAGGAGCTCTAGCTGGAATCAATGTGTTGACACGACACTCGTGTGTTAAATCATGCCCGCTTGTTCTCCTATATGTTAAAAACTACTTTATTTTATTGTTTTAAAAATTGATATTTATAAAATATATTTAGAGAATAAAAAATAATAAAAATGAATTTTTTTATCCACTTTTATTTCCAAATAATAATTCTAGCACATCTACATATTTTTTTTATTTTTTTATTTTTAAAATAATATATTACTTTTTTTGTTCTCCAAATATTTTAAAAAAACACACTAACAAATAAAATTTATTTTTTTTTTTATTAAAAAAAGAGAAATTATTTTTAAAACAAATTGCCCAACAATCCCTACATCACTCAAGCTCTTGCCTGTGCTGCCTATAGCTACACTATTAATTTAAAGTTTAAAACTAATTAAATTAATACGTGGTGCAATTTTTTTTTTGCTGAATATTTAAAAATAGTCCATTAGGCACCCACAATTAAAAAAGTTACCTTTTCCAATTAGTTGATTTAATATATTATAAAAAAAATTTAAAAAATTATAGAAAATCATTACTGGAAAGAATACACATAAATATCCTATAAAACATTAATATCAATTAAGTCCATAATTAGTGTGATAATTTTAAGTCTTTCTTCAAAATTTCTAATTCCTCTTTGAAAAGTTTACCGCTAGTGTAAAATATGAATTCATTTATAAATAACATTATTTGTTGGAAGACTTGAAGTACTTATTTGGAATTTTTATTTGTTATTTTCTGTAATTCTATATCTTTTTGTGTAATTTTTTAATCAATTAATGATTAAAGTTAATAGTTAATTTTTTAATGAAAAGTATCTAAAATATTGTAAAAGAAATTGCGCTATAGGTAAGTTTAGAATATTAGACACTTCTAAATAAATAATTTAAAGATAAAAATACCCTTTAACTCTTAATTTAACATTAACTATATATTCACGTTTTTTATTTTTTTTATCAAATTCTACTTTCGTTGAAAAGTTGCATTTAAGTGAAGTACCGAAAATCGAATTGGTGATTACACTATGACGAAAAGCAAGGTTACACACACACACTTATACAGTGACATTACATATTATTTTGTGAAATAAGTGCTTCCATGAATATGAAAGTGTAAAAGCGTAGAGGAACTCATATCTTGTGTCGGCAAGCAAGACAAATGATGTTAGACTTTTAATTGATCGGTTTAATTACTATCAATATATCGAATGCTGCGTGTTTATTGTTAAATATTTTTCATATAATGGCACAGAAATTTAAAGAAAAGAAAAAAAAAATGCAAGTTGATAACTAGAGGTTAAGTAAGATTCTTGAAGCAAGCTAAAGATTTCTTTTTCTTTTTTTTCCCCTTGCCTTTTATCAATGCATCAAAAACCCAATAAATCAGATGGGCAAAAATTTCGAAGATGTGTTCGAAAGGAAGGAAGAAGATTAGGTGGAGCATAATATTGTTGCAGAGGCAGAAAGATGAGAGACAAAGCATGGAATGAAGTGAGAAGATATAATAAGTTAAAGCAAACAAGCAAGCTAAGGCTATATTTAGAGAGAGAGAGAGAGAGAGAGAGAGAGAGAGAGAGAGAGAGAGACAATTAATTTGTAAAGAAGATAAATAGAAGCAGAGAGAAATGAAGACTAACCTGAAACAAGAGGAGTTGGCAAAGGCATCAGAAGTGGCATGATTGATTGAAGTCTTCTTCTATTTATATTTATATATGCTCTCAGCACTAACCTAGCTACTTGGTGTTTATGCTGTCTACGTATGTTCAAAATGAATGTGAGAGAGAATAAGAGCCTTTTCTCACTCACTACACCAAATGGTATCATCATTCAACTTATTTGTTTTTACATATCATGCAAAGTAATCAATGAACCGGTGAGTTTAATTTGGAAAAACCAAAGTAAAAAAAAAGAAAAGAAAAAATTTCTGCTCATGTGATTGAGGGAAATATATGGCAAACATATGGAATTACTATGTTGTTATTGCTATGCTTTAATAATGAGGTCATTGGATTTAATTTTTATCAATATAGTTTTTTAATTTACTTAAATTATCAATTTAGTCATCTTATTGTTTAGAAAGAAGATAATGCTGTTACAAGTTACAATCCACTAAAATTGTTACAAGTTACAATCTACTAAAATGAATAACAAAACATTGATGATAGTCATGTAAATTAATAAAAAATGCATAATTATTTATGTAAGAAAATGAACTCAAATTTTTTTTAAAAAAAATAAAAGAACAAAACTAGATGTTATATTAATAAAAATTAAATTGATTTGAAGGTTAACTTATTCTCATTGAGAGAGATATATATACATATATGTTAAATTAATTTGATAGTCAATTTATATTTTGGAACTTAAAGAAGTAATATAATAATTTTAAAAAACAAAAGGGATCAAATTATTAAAAATTAAACTTAAAAAACAAAATTAAATTTAAGGGATTAAGAGTTTGATTGGGGCTAAAAATAAATATAAGACAGTGAATATTATAAGGGAAAAGTGTAGTGATCAGCGGCTAATAATGAGGGACAAATCTCCGCTCAATCTTGTCTCGAAGTTCTCTCATTAATCTCCACCATCCTCATCTTAATTTGATGTCTTGTTTCTTTCTTTGCCACACACTCACCAAAAATAAAAAGCCTAAAGGTGACCATTATTAATTTAGTTATACAAGCAAAACACACAGATAATCGAACAAGCCACTCTGAGTTGTTTCGAACTCTTCAATATCTTCTGCGGATTTTTCTGACGCTCACCCGTAAAAGACTAAAGGTGATAATATCCCTTGCTTTCCAAGTAAATTCCAATTAAAATTAAACGAATCCCACCTTCCTGGCCGTGCGCATATATATATATATATATATATATAATTAAGGGTGTTTAAAACTAATTTAAATTGAAAGGATTGATCCAAACCAACCCAAACTGAAAAAAATCGATCAAAACCGAACAACAATCAAGCTTGCTTCGGTTTTTATGATATGAGAACCAATTAATTTGGTTCAAGTTCGGTTTGAGTATAAGAAACCAAAACAAACCGAGTCAAATTTGGTTAAAAAATATTATTTATTTATTTATAAAATATGTAACCATTTATCTACAAGAAGCATTTTATTTTAAATTTTTTATAGTAATAGATAAACATTTTTAAAGGACTTGAATGAAAATACATAATATTAAATAACTATAATAATGATGCTATGACCATCATTTAATTATTTACAACTTAAAAGTCTCAATATTCAATTTATCTACAAGAAACATTTTGTTTTAAATTTTGTATAATAAGTTTTTTATTATTTATTAAAATATAGATACATAGATAAACATTTTGAAAGGACTTGAATGAAAATGCATAATATTAAATAATTTTAATCTTAAAAACTTATATCAATTTTTATGATTAATTATCATTATCACATTGAAATTTTACTATATTTTTACACCTCTACTTCTGAAAAAAAGGAGCCAAAAAGAATTAAATTTAATTTTAATACATAGCACCATATGAAGATGGAAAAAAGGAAAAAAAAAATTAAATAAGTGTATTGAAGCTCAATTCAGACCTTAACTAAACCAAACCAAACCAAAAATTTAACTAAAACAAACCAAATCGAGCTTCATAAAAACCGATCAAGTCTCAATTATGAGTAAACTAAATGGTTTGGTTCGGTCAAAACTAAACCAGACCGAACCTATGAACACTCCTATATATAATGCATTATTCCAGCCTCAGAAAGAACCACTTCAAAGGAATCAAACTCCAAGTACAAACTCCATACACGCACGCGCACGCACGCACACACACAACGAGATATCAGATACAAACACACAGTGAAACTGTGTGTGTGGATATATCTCTTTAAAGTTCGAACCATGCATGTGCTTTTGTATTAAGTGTTCCCTATTCAACAGCTTTTACTTGCTTCACAATTTACACGCTTTTCAGGTGTCTTGGCCATTAAATATGCTATAAATTTTGAGTTCTTCATTCAAAAATTCTTCTGATGCGGCACGCACTACTATTCTTGGCATATGCTTGTTCATTGCCTTTCATCAGCTATACATATAGATTACTAATTTCTATCCATTTTATGGTCTCATAATTATACAGTTAACAGGTGATATGGTTATGTGTTTTCTCTGTGTTCCACAATATGCAGTTCTGGAAGGAATTAAATAAATTGAACTTTTTGGGCTAATTAATTAGCAACAAACTTAGACACAGACCAAATCAAGGGGACAGACAGGACATAACAGAAAAGTGAGTCATTGTCAAACATTGTACAGAATCAATTTCTTCAGGCGAAGAACCAAAATCCAAAGGGTCTTGTGGGGTTCGTTTTATTATTATGTCATCACGCAGCAGCACCAATTAATCCTCCACGACCCCACTCACATGTGCTATATATACACAACAACACAACAAATACGTATTTTCTGTTTATTTATTTATTTAGCTTTTAAACCCTCTGGATCATTGCTAGCTGGTCTTTTTACACACACACACACGTATCCTGATTATTCTATTATGATTACAGAGACTGACCTGAAAGATACGAAGATCCCTTTTTGGTTAGTTAAGATTAATGAATATCACCATTTGTAATTAATCTACAACAAAATACACACACACAAGTAGAATGCATGTGGGATCAATATTTAGTCTACCTAATTGCTGATATTCCACAATTAACATATCTGAATAAGT